TAATAAATAATTATAATAATGATTGTTTAAATCACTATGTGCATATTATTCCAACTGAGTTCATACTTTTGTGCTGGCTATTCATTATTTCATTAACTCAGAAAGCTCTCACAGAATCCTTGTAATATATTCTCATAAAATTCTATTTTTAAGTATATACATAACTTACTGGAGGCATTTGTTGCCTTGCCTTTGCACATACATTCTAGAATAGAATATATGTTATAGTAAAATACCAATTTTGTGATTTTCAGATGCATTGGACAACATTTTCATTTATGCATCCCAAGTAAGTCTATTAAATGCCAAGTAATCTGAACAAGGCTCTTAAAATGTATATTAAATTGTATTTATATAGCTTGTGTCATTTGTGTAATGATATTGTTATACAGATAGAATAAATTGCAGCTAATGGCATACTTTTGGATTTAACAGACATTCATAAATCACAAGCACTCCCTTCCCCTAAATTGTCTGTTAAATTGAGATTTTACTGTAATGGAGAATTAGGATATAGCAATTTGGAGTCAGCTTCTAAAACTGGCTAAATGCCTAGCTAAAGGACAGAGGAAATGACATACACAGTTCCCTGCCAACATACGTGTTCTAAGAATACTGTTTAAATGCTTAGAAGAGTTTATTCTCTCCAAAAGTGGTTGAAATTTTGAGGCTGTTAAAACATTAATATTGGATTCATAAGATCCAAAGTGTACTTTCCTCTATCTAGAGCATACTTTGACCACATTCATCATGGAATAAATCTTTTTGAGAACAAAAGCAAATCTTAAGACTAGGAAACGGGATGTTGTACCTTAATGCAGTAGTTCAGCTTAAAACATTCTGTATTGCCTCTGCTGGAAGGCATTGAGGAAAGAAGCCTTCCTGAATCTGAGTGTCCTTCAGGTGTGTCAACGTTTATTCTCTCCCCCCCGCCCAAGTTTTAGATTTTTATTTTTTTAATTATACATCAATATCAATACATGAACATTTGATACATATTGTATCATATATCAACATATTGATACATCAATATCAATACATGAACTGTATAATTCTTTTTAATGCAAACATCAATAATGATAATCATAATAGTTGCTATATTAATCAAACAATAGTATTAATATACATGGTTCTTTTTTAGAATAGTTATTCAATATTTCAATATTCCATTTTAATGCCAATGATATAAGCATACATAGTAATACCATCTTTCAATCTCTGTTCTTTTCCATCAAATTATTGTATTCTATTAAATAAAAATTATGTGCTAATATTTCCTCTATTCCTTATTCCTACCTCTATTCTAACTTCTAATCAGGTCACCATTGCTAATCCTAGTATTAATACACATTAAGACAGTCATTCATTTGGTTCAAAGTCACAATACACCATTCAAGTATCAGTCTTCCTATTATTTAAACATACCTAATACCATCTTTCAACCCCCAATCTTTCCATCTATCTTGCTTCATATAAAAATGTGTATTCTTATTTCTACCTCTATTCAAACTCCTAATCAGGCCATTATATGAGTGTGTGTGTACACACACATACACTCTATCCATCTCTTGTCCGTTTTAATACTTCAATTCATATTCATTTTTTGGCTTGCCTCCCATACTCTTGGATCTATCAACATCTGTATCTTCATCATTCAGACTGAATATTTCTCCAATCTCTATCCTCCTAAGCTGCCAGTCTCCAGAGTATCCACCAAAACCCCTATCTCCCTTTCAAAAGTATCTTCCAGCTTATCCAATTCCATTTTTAAATCTCTTAAAGTGCTTTTGCCTTGCTTGATTTCATCAGTCATTGTTTTTATTGTCTTCTCCTTCCTATCTTCTTGCTTTGTTTGCTGGTTTGCTTGTTCTGTCTTTTCTTCCATTCTTTCTACTATCTCTCTTTTCTGGACTCTGATCTTCATTCATCATCAGTTGTAGCGTATTTTCTGTTTTCCTATATATGCCTTGCATTAGGTACTTGATCTCTCTGTAATTTTTTTCCATAGTCCCCCAAATGCTTTGAAACATCAATGCCATTTCTCTTGAAATCTCACTCATTTCCTCCTTGATGGAGCATCTTGTCTTAATTTAATTTTTTATGGAACAAGCCAGTTTGGTCCAGCGTTTAAGGCCCCTGGCTAGAAATCAGAAAACATTGAGTGTTAATCCTACCTTAGGTGTGAAAGCCAGCTGGGAGATTTGGAGTCACCTTCAGCCTAAACTATGCTATAGGTTGTTTTTGATGGCTACTTACTATATTAAGTATCCAATTTTCTACTTTAAGCTATTTATAAAAATAAAGGTGGAATACAAATCTCTTTGAATACTGTATTCAAGAATGCTATTTCCCTTCCTCTCTCCCTGCCTTTTTTGGGCTATACATTTCTCGCCATCTCTTTGTAAAATTTGTTTCTCATTTCTAATATTTGTTAACCTCTTCCAATTCATTCAAATTCTTAAGTTCTGTGGTGCCAGAACTGGACACACAATCTGATCAAATTATTTGGAACACTAGAATAGAATTCTTTATTGGTCAACTGTGATTGGATACAGAAAGAATGTCTCCGATACATAAGTTCTCAGAGTACATACAAGTGAATCGATCATAACCATAAAATGCCATCATAAATCATAACATACATATGATTTTTTTCTAAGTAAACATGCTTTCTCTAAACTACTTCCAGCACATTTAACATAGTTAAATATAGTTAACTAGTTAATCTATTAATTAAATCTATTGGATTAATTTCATCTCTGTTCTCTCCATCTTGCCATTCAAGTTATGAAAAGAATATTAACGTACCTTAAAACAGAATCTAGTTACATTTTGAATCACTGATGACACACAATTATGATTTCAAGATACTGTTAGATCCTAATCCTAAATCAAATCTAGCTGCCAGCTAGCAAACATATGTGAGCAGTGTCTAAAATTGAGAAAGCCACATTTACATTTTTGCAAGTTTCTAGTTTTGATGCCTTGCCTGTAAAGTGAAATAGCTTTGAATGTCCCACATGTCATGATTGCCTTCTGACCTGACCTTGAAGAAAAACAGTCTTCCTGGATTATAAATTAGTGTTCTCAGAGATGGCAGAGCAGATTAATTACTTCATCCCAACTTCAGACCCTGAGTTCAATTTCAACATCTAGAATGTTAGAAAATTCTAACTCAACACATATAATCATGTTTTCAACTTTTCTTCTGACTGTGTCTTTCTGAAATATATTTTCAGAATATATTTCTGAATAAGGTTGGATAATGTTGAGGGGTTAGTGTTGAGAGGTGGAAAAAAAACATAACTACCATTCTAGAAAATGTCATTTAAACCAAATGTGCATTTTTTCCTTATATGTTGTCTGGTTGGGAACTCTGGAAGATATAGTCTCTATTAAACATATGTCATAGAGATCAAATGTATAATGGCTGCCTAGTTAAGACAGGTAATCATTTTTAACTAGTTCATTTTGCAGTGGCCTAGTGCTACATAAAGCTAAACCATGTTGGTTACACTTACACATCAAATAAGACATTATGCAATTTGTTTAATAAGTTTTACTTATTTTAGAAAATTTATATAATAGCTCAACTTAACATCACTCTGGGTGGTAAACAATGTATATTCCGCATAACTCATTAAAATAATACTAAAATAAAAATGAGTGAAAATTGAGGCACCACATAATTCTATAAAACCCAACATGTTTTGGATTCATATAACATCTTCATGCAATCTAAAACCAATTGTGATTTTTTTTTAAAAAGTAAATCAGCAACCTATAAATTTGCAAATTGAACTGTAATAATGTGTGAACCCAACTAATGTGAAGAGGAGGCTTTCAGGAGCTTCAGTCAAAAGTAGCTTCCTAATCCATTTTCAAGAATGTTTAATTTATTTTATTATATTTGTCAATCGCTAACAATAGGTATAAGTATAAACATAGTTATGAATACATGAAATGGATACATATAAGAAAAATAAAAAGAAGCAATAGGACAGGGACGGTAGGCACGTTGGTGCGCTTATGCAAGCCCCCTACATATGAAGTACATAAAATCAGTTTCCATTTCAATTTCCAAAAAACTAATGAAGCTTTTTCCCAAATGTTTATCATTTCATGTTTACTGCTTATAATTTATTTATTACATTTATATACTGTCTATCTCATTTTTGAAGCGACTCTGGGCAGCTTACATTATGATTAAGTATGAGTATAGTACTCATTTCCAGTAATAATTGAACTTTTATTTGATATGGTGGGCTCACCTTGCACAAAATTATGGTTTGTATAAACCACAAATTGGTTGTGTGGATGCTAAATCATGATTTAGGGAACACAGTAGCTGGAACCCACTTCCAGCAGCAAGCAAATAACATTGCAGGATGTGCTCGGTCGAGATTTAGCAACCCTTTGGATTGTTATCACAATTTGCAGTATTGTCCTGCTCTGTCTCCACATTAGCTTGAAAAATAATTTCTCAACTTCACCGAAAACATCCTTGGCATAGGAGAGGAGAATAGTCGGTCTAGCTCGACGTCCCGTATCCCCACCCGAATTTAACTAAATGCATTTCTCAGATTCTCCTTCGCTTGCTGTCGCCTCCTACCCCCCCTCCCCCAAAACAGACACACTCCCTGCCCAGCCATTGGGTCGCTTTCTCCAGATCGGAGGCAGCGGGATGCAGAAAGGGAGACAGCTCGACCGACCGTGGATCCCCCTCGCCTGGAGCTGAGAAGGAAAGCGAAAAGGGAGGAGCTTGAAGCCTCTGAGATACAGCAGGATACCCAATGCAGTAAAAGCTCTCGACGCGAGCGGAAGCCGGCGGCACACAATGCAGCACTGAGGCGGTGGCGAGGAGGCGCCTCTCCCGCTAGCAGCAGCAGCAGCACCAGCCTGGCCGTAGGAGCGCCTTGCCTTTCCCTCTCGCCTTGCGATCCTCGCTTCTTGCGGGCAGCTCATCTTTCTCCCCACGCCACTTCTCCCAAGAGCCAGCCATGCACACCGCGGCTCCTCTGCTCGCCTTGATGCTCTGGACCGTCGGAATGCTCTCGAAAGCTCGCTGCGGCCGCGCAGGTAAGAACCTCCTTACCTTCGCCCGGCGGCTGCCGCTGGGAAACGGGCTGCCGCTGTTTGCTGGACCTGCCGGCCGGGGAAGAAGAGCTCGCCCTGCCAGGAGCTCGTCTTCGTGGGTTAGGGGACTCTCGGCGCTGCAGTGTGCAGCATCCCAGGTGCCGCCGGCCCGGGAGAGAGGAACCAGGGTTAGCTGCGTGCCGTGTGCGCGTGTGGGAAGGAAGCTCATGGCAAACACACACACACACACACACACACAAACTATATGTATGTAAGATGGAGCTGGCCTTTGCTTTCTGCCTCCGAAGTGGAAAGCAACTGCCCCATTTTCCACCCGCGCCCCGTAACCGAGGGTCTTCGTAAATGAACCGATCCCTTCCGGCTGGAATTGGTTGACCGCTACCGTCTCCCCCCCCCCCCCCCCCCCCCCAGGAGACACCTTGTTGACTGAGATGGAGAGAAAGGCTGCGGGTCGCTTCAGGGAAAGGCAGAAGAGCGTCCCTTTTCGGCTCCTCTATAGTGCCAGTGAAGGCAACGAAACTCCTCACGACCTGCTCGACACTCGCATCGGCCGTAGCTCTGTTGGGAAGCAGGTAAGCGACGCCAGTAGCGGAGTAGGCAGCTAGAGGCCCGCCTGCTCTTTGGGATTTTCTGTTGCCCGGAGACGGGCGCTTGGGAGGAGGCGGCGCCAGCGGACTCTTCCAAAACGCGACTCCGCGCCTGATGCGCCGTGCATAGAAATTGCAGCACGCGGGGAGGGAATGTAGCCATCCATCCACCTGATCCGAGGTCAGCCCTCCCCACCCACATTCCCCCCCCCCGCCAAGCCAGGTGTTGTTGTCTGGATGAATTGAGACTGAACTGTCAGCTGTCCCCTTTCTCCCTGCTGCATTTTGGCGTTAGGAATATTAGGGTCTTCATGTATGTAGACAAATGCATTTAATGAGGATATGTTGTTTTTTTTTTAAAAAAAATCAAGATTGAACCTTGGAATTCCATGACTGAGATGCTATTGGGAAAGGATAAACCTTCAAATGACAGAGGTGTTCAGCATGAATGTGTGTGTGTGTGTGTGTGTGTGTGTGTGTGTGTGAGAGAGAGAGAGAGAGAGAGAGAGCCTGTTTGTGTCTAGTGTAGAAATGTAACTACACAGAAATATGCATTTTCAGCAAGATGGAGTTTGATTTGGCAGCAATATACACTTGTCCTATCTAAAAGCAATCCTGGAAGACCTCTGGGTGCTCATTGAAAGCTTTCTCAAGTGCCTCTAATCAATGATTGGCTATGCTTTTCCTAACTTCCAGACAGGATGTTCTCTAAGAGCATTAAACTTCCACAGAAATCTGTGCTTCTTTGAATTACAGAGGCATTCATGATCTCATTTTGAATATAAAATGCTTATGATTTCCTCTCATCTGGAATGCATTTGAGGGCTTAGTTTTTAAGGAAGTTTAAAAGAAGATTTTGATGTTCAGAATCCTATTTGAAACCAACTCTTTTATTTATTCAGTCTTCAGTCCTCTACACATTTAACTCAAGGAAGTATCCTTGAACTGAATGCAATTTTCTTTTAAATAGTCCCACGTAATATTGTGTGGTTTTAAGATTGTGATTCTAAATTATGTTTGAAAAACAGTCAGCGCCACTGAATTATTATTTCATTCCAAACTTACATAGGATTACATTGAAAGTTAAACTGAATGGTTTTAGGATTGTATAGCTCTTGAAATCAAAGGGAAAGAGTGCCTCAATGTGTGTATGTGTGCACACCCTGTACACAGTTTTACATTGTGATCCCAGGCAAAGATGCAACTGCTGTAAGAAGGCTGCTATGTGCAAAATACTGTGAAAATTGCAGAGGCCTAGAACTTATATTATCAAAGTTAGTTTTTAAAAAATGAAGGTGTTTTTTTTTGTTATAATTAGTTCAGATTTAGTTTACAAGAGACAACTGTACATGACATAAGTTTATTTATTGGCCTTATAGGCCCATCAGTGATGGTTCTAACCAGAGTAGTCATAAGCTGTTGTAAAATTAAATTAAAAAATCAGGAGAACAAAGAGCAGTATGAAACTTTGAAATATGGCCTCTAGTTCTAAACTAATCAAAAAGACTTTGAAGTAAAAATAGTAGGACTTGTAAGTCCTGTGTCATTTGCAGATTTGGAAACTGAAACTTGAAGCAGTCCATTCCAGTTTGATGTGGAGCTATTGATGAGCATGCTCTGAGTAAGATTTTTGAATCAAAGATAGATCTATCAAATAAAATTGCTATTCTTGCTAGTCAGATTATTTTGACATAATTTGACAAATGTTTTGCCATATGGTAATCAAGATATGTAATTTCCATTTAATTTGTGCAATTATGTTCATAATTCAGTAATTTAAGTCAATATTCACAACGTAAGCTAGGCAGCAGCATTAACAGTGATGGTTATATGAGAAAGATCTTAAGAAATGCTGCCCGGGGAATAGCAGGTAAGAGAGGGTTGCCTACAGGGGTTGCATAATAAGTGGAGAAAGAAGCTGAGGAGGAATCCTCCTTAATGTTTCACACTGTAAGAGACAGCGGGAGACTTGCAAGATTCTTTTAGAGCAGCTCATCTAGTTCAGTTTCCTCTTGGTTTATCTGGAAAGGCTGGCATCAGCCTTGCAAGTCTCATAATCTGTTCTGAAAAGAGTTTCAGGAATGGCCTCTGATCCTCAAGGAATTTCGCTATCTGCTGAGGATCCGATCGCTATGTTGCAATGCTAGCAGCAAGTGAAGGCACAGATGACCAGTTTGCAGATTGTCAGGATACCATTGCAACAGCTGGACAGAATTTGTTTCAACCTCTGGCAGGACAGCAGATGGTAGCTTAGCTAATATTCTTGCATTCCCATGGGAGCTTGAACCTGGAGAAGTTCAGAGGTGACCAGGTTCAATTCTATACATTCACTGCTCAATATGAAATGTTTATGGCAGGCTGGCCTGTGGAGTTTCCTATATTGCACCAAAATGACTTTTATGTTGAGTTTGCTGAAGGAGGCATCACCTATGGGCTATATGCCCACTTACCTGACTATTCCTCAAGATCTTGTTTTTGTTTTTCAAGATCTTTCTCACATACCATCACCCAATCTTCAAAAGAAGCTAAACAGATCAGGCCTAGTGAATATCTCCATGGGAAAATAAAGGTAGGAAAATTTTTAAAAATGGAGAAAGACTGGTAACTCTCTCTCTCTCTCTCTCTCTCATCTCTATAATCAGGTTATCTTCTGTCTGTCTACTATCTATCTATCTATCTATCTATCTATCTATCTATCTATCTATCATCTATCTATCTATCTATCTATCTATCCCTATATTTATATATCTATATATCTATATATCTATCATCTATCACATTTCTATGACTGCCCACCTCACGTGAAAGTAAATCTTATTGTTGCCTAGAAAATTATATGGACATCTCTATGTATTGTCTAGAGCCAAATCTGCTTTCGTGCCCAAACCCAAAGATGACACAGTGAAATCCAGTCAAGTACAGTTCTTTATTTGCTTACACCTATTGCATAGAATCTTAGTTATAAATAAAGTTATAACTCTCTACCCTAATAGAGATTAATCTCTCCAACCTTACAGATTTTGAGGTGAGACCACCCTGAACTTCTTTCTCCCTCCCCAAGCTTGGAACTGTACAGTTTCTTAATTTGAGATTCTTTCTGGAATGCACTGCCTCCTCCCTGGGAAATTGCACTGCTCTTGCGGGAATTACCCCTCCCCCCTTCTCCAGGTGCACATTCCATTACATCAGCTTTCCGTAACCAGATGCGTTCTATGTATATTGAGACTGTAACTCCCAGAATTCTCATGGATTATTTGTGTGAGAGAAATTGCATTACAATTTACTATTGTAGTATAATTTATAACATACAATGTAATTTGTATTAGTGCAAATTAATTTGTACTCCCAACACCATAGAGAGTATCATATTAGGAAAAGCTGTTTTAAATAGTCCCCAATTGAGGTTAACCACAATTTATTACTTAAAATCATATGGCAAATTAAAGCAAAATTCCCATCTTGGTCTTGGCTATGTTCATTAAAAAGAACAGGGAGAAACTCAGAAAGACAAGATGCATTTTGACTTGCTCATGTAATGCTAAATCTGGGTTTGGCAAATATTTGTAACTCCTGAGTGTAAAAAATTTGCTAACAATTACAAGTTTGCTGACAACGTTCATGAGGCTAACAAAATTTCACAGAATTCCAATAATTAATAAAAGGAAGTATCTGAGATTTCTAGGCATTCTGGTCTAATCAGAATGTTATGTTATGGAACACCATCCTTTTGAAATACTAGATTTCATTCTCCTTCCCTACTTTTTAAACAAAATAGAGAAAAATATAGCTCCTTTGCTCAAAAGAATGACTTACCTTTACAGTATAATTGAATTTGATACTTCACTAATGTGAAAGCCCGAGTAAATGGATATCCTAAAACTGGTGTTGATATTTGTTCTTGTATTTACAATGAATGAATGTGCCTGGAGAGGTATTTATGCAGTTTAGATATTTATTAACCATTATACTGCTGACTACTGAAATCTTTATAATATTTCTAATGAAATGATTATGCAGAAATATTTAAAACAGGTTGCTTTAAAAGCTTACTTTAAAATGTAGTTTTAGTGCATTTAAAAAAAATCAGAGTTATTATTATAGTTATTATCCAAAGATATTGTAGTAAGCTAAGGGAAAAAAAATTGGCTTCAAGTAGCCTAAGACAAATCTGTACTGTACCCTCTTACTGGATCTGGATGCTTGTGACGTCTTCCTAATCCACCATTTTAGTGGGAATCTCATAGTCACAAAGATAATGCACTTTCATTCTCTTGTAGCACGTGACTATAGAAGTTAGGGTACTTTCCCACCTTTTTCATGTAGAAAAGTATTTATGGTTTACTGGAATTAATTTTACTTAAGGACCTTTTTCTGTTTCTCCCCCATCCTACACTAGGAAGTAGGCATACTTCAATTTCTTAACACTGCTGGTCGTTTGAGGACTGAAGGGATATGAATATCCCTGAAGGACTGATGAATGTTAACACATGCATTATATCTCTTACAGACTTGTCTGTGACTATGGGCCTTTCCTTCAAACAGGAAAGGCCAGAGTGTGTGTCACGTTGCAATTCACATTTTATCATTTTCCCATTATCACTTTGTACTGGCCTCATATATACAGGGTGAATGGGGTCAACAATTTTCACACAATTATCATTAAGGTGCTACTAAAGTGTCATAAATAAAAATCAGGCACAACTCTGAATGAACCATTGTGGTTGACTTTTTTTTACCATAACATGTGAATTTCCTTAACAAGAAGATGAAAAAGTTACCCTGGAAGAGCTGAAACTGAGATTTTAAAAATGGGAAAAAAGCCATGTTCCACCTGCACTTATTTTAGCCATTTTATTTTTAGTGTAATTTAAAATTCTAAACAAGGTACAGAAAATTGCTGTTTTGCTGCTGAATTTTACTGTTGTGATCCTGCAGTCCTATGGATGCCATAAAAATCAGTTTGGGAGATTATAAAAATCTGTTTT